CGCACCAAGGAAGGTCAAGAGGAGAGCGCTGAGGGAACCTCCCCGAGGGAGAGGAAAGGCAGGGAAAAGCTACGTTCTGCTCCCCGCGTCCCCCGGTCTTCAGATTCCCCTGAGGAAAGGTGCTTTGCTATTGCGGGGAGCCCAAGCGCATTTCTACCCTGACCCACTAAAAAGTAATGCCACATAGGAAGAAAAAGCCACTTCTGAAAGCAGCAACGGGGCTGGGCGCGGTGGCTCAGGCCTGTCATCTTAACACTTCGGGAGGTCAAGTCGGGTGGATCACCTGAGTCAGGAGGTTTTTTTTTTTTTTTTTTTTTTTTTTTTTTGAGACAGAGTCTTGCTCTGTCGCCCAGGCTGGAGTGCAGTGGCACCATCTCGACTCACTACAACCTCCGTCTCCCAGGTTCAAGTGATTCTTCTGCCTCACCCTCCTGAGTAGCTGGGACTACAGGCGCACACCACCACGCCCGACTAATTTTTTTTTTTTTTGTATTTTTGTATTTTTAGTAGAGACGGGGTTTCACCATATTGGCCAGGTTGGTCTTGACCTCCTGACCTCAGGTGATCTGCCCACCTCGGCCTCCCAAAGTGCTGGGATTACAGGCATGAGTCACTTCACCTGGCCAACGCCAGGAGTTTGAGAACAGCCTCGGAAACATGGTGGAACCTCATCTCTATGTAAACATGCAAAATTAGCCAGGCTTGGTGGTGTGCGCCTGTAATCCCAGCTACTCCCGAGGCTGAGGCAGGAGAACTGCTTGAACCTGAGAGGCGGAGGTTGCAGTGAACCGAGATCACGTCGTTGCACTCCAGCCTGGGCGACAGCGAGACTCCATCTCAAAAAAAATAAATAAATAAAATAAATAAAATTAGAAGCAGAAGGAGGAACAGAAACAGAAATCAGCACATGGAATAGTGGAGTCTTGTGTGTGTCCGAGGGATGACATGATGCTCAGCGTCTGCTCAGACAGACGGTGGCTGTGAGAAGCCCCGATGCGAGAACCACCAACCCGGACAGTCCGCTGTGAAGACTCCACGCCGACCAACGCCCCACAGGCCCCACGGAGATGGGCAGGACTGAAACACATGAGGCTTGGCCTTTGATGTAAAAGAACTCCCCATGCTGCCGGGCGCGGTGGCTCAAGCCTGTAATCCCAGCACTTTGGGAGGCCGAGACGGGCAGATCACGAGGTCAGGAGATCGAGACCATCCTGGCTAACACGGTGAAACCCCGTATATACTAAAAAATACAAAAAACTAGCCGGGTGAGGTGGCGGGGCCTGTAGTCCCAGCTACTCGGGAGGCTGAGGCAGGAGAATGGTGTAAACCCAGGAGGCGGAGCTTGCAGTGAGCTGCGATCCGGCCACTGCACTCCAGCCCGGGGGATAGAGCGAGACTCCGTCTCAAAAAACAAAACAAAACAAAACAAAAACTCCCCAAGCCAGAAGGAAGTGCGTGGTGAAGCAGTTCGGCTCAGAGAAGGATGTGCTTCTGAAAGAACAGCCACGTCAGCACTGTGTTTAAACTCATATGCTAATCCAAACATGGTCCGGCAAGAACGCAGGCGGAACAAGTCCACCGTGTCCCGGCCCGTGCACAAGCAGGCCAGCTGTTCCACCGACACCATCACTCAGCTGCGGGGACACCTGGACGGGCTCGCCTGTGTGATGCCGCCCATCCTGGGAGGGTCGGGTTTCTTTAAAAGATTTGAGTCAGGCCTCTGGCATTTTGCTGTAATATTCTAGGTAGAATTATAGGGCAATTTGGTACAAATTAGATGTTTAAGGCTGGGCGTGGTGGCTCACGCTGTAATCCCAGCACTTCGGGAGGCCGTGGCGGGTGGATCATGAGGTCAGGAATTCGAGACCAGCCTGACCAACGTGGTGAAATCCCCTCTCTACTAAAAGTACAAAAATTAGTCGGGCGTGGTGGCGGCGCCTGTAATCCCAGCTACTCGGGAGGCTGAGGCAGGAGAATCGCTTGAACCCGGGAGGCAGAGGTTGCAGTGAGCCGAGATGGCGCCACTGCACTCCAGCCTGGGCGATAGAGTGAGACTCTGTCTCAGAAACAAAACAAACCGAACAAACAAAAACAAATGAGATGTTCAGCCTGTGAGTAGGCAATGAACAACAACAACAACAAAAATAACCCAGAATACCGGTTTTAAGAGAGGGGGTCTTGCTGTGTGGTTCAGACTGACCTCAAATTGCTGGCCTCAAGCGATCCTCCTGCCTCGGCCTCCCAAGAAGCTGGGATTATAGGTGTGAGCCACCATGTCCAATTCTTTAACGTGTTATAAAATGCTGATAGCAATGGGCTTTCAGTCAGATTTGGTGGGGGAATGTAATCAGTATGTTTACCTGAAGCTCAGGCAGGCGCGCGCACACACACACTCACAGACACACACATGCACGCACACTGGCAGCACCAACAACAGCTTCACCTAAAATGAAGTGTTAAGAGGAATCAGGCCGGGCGTGGTGGCTCACGCCTGTAATCCCAGCACTTTGGGAGGCCGAGGCGGCCGGATCACGAAGTCAGGAGATCGAGACCATCCTGGCTAACACAGTGAAATCCCGTCTCTACTAAAAATACAAAAAATTAGCCAGGCATGAGGGCAGGCACCTGTAGTCCCAGCTACTCAGGAGGCTGAGGCAGGAGAATGGCGTGAACCCGGGAGGCAGAGCTTGCAGTGAGTTGAGATCGCACCACTGTACTCCAGCCTGGGCAACAGAGTGAGACTCCGTCTCAAAAAAAGGAGGAATCTATTTACATTATAACTAACTATAGGAACGATGTGGAAGTGAGGGATCAAGACAGTCTCTTCACATTCTGAACCTTAGAAAGATTTCATTTTTCTTTTTTTTTTTTTTAATTTTTTAAATTTTTTCTTTTCTTTTTTTTTTTTTTTGAGACGGAGTCTTGCTCTGTCGCCCAGGCTGGAGTGCAGTGGCTGGATCTCAGCTCACTGCAAGCTCCGCCTCCCGGGTTTACGCCATTCTCCTGCCTCAGCCTCCCGAGTAGCTGGGACTACAGGCGCCCGCCACCTCGCCCGGCTAGTTTTTTGTATTTTTTTTGTAGAGACGGGGTTTCACCGTGTTAGCCAGGATGGTCTCGATCTCCCGACCTCGTGATCCGCCTGTCTCGGCCTCCCAAAGTGCTGGGATTACAGGCTTGAGCCACCGCGCCCGGCCAAATTTTTAAAATTTTTTCGAGACGGAGTCTCGCTCTGTTGCCCACGCTGGAGTGCAGTGGCCGGATCTCGGCTCACTGCAAGCTCCGCTGCCCGGGTTCCTGCCATTCTCCTGCCTCAGCCTCCCGAGTAGCTGGGACTACAGGCGGTGCCACCACGCCCGGCTAGTTTTTTTTTTTGTATTTTTTAGTAGAGATGGGGTTTCACCGTGTTAGCCAGGGTGGTCTCGATCTCCTGACCTCGTGATCCGCCCGTGTCGGCCTCCCAAAGTGCTGGGATTACAGGCTTAAGCCACCGCGCCGGGCCTCTTTTTTTTTTTGAGACAGAGCCATGCTCTGTCCCCCAGGCTAGAGTGCAGTGGAATGATCTCCGTTCACTGCAAACTCTGCCTCCTGGATTCAAGCGATTCTCCTGCCTCAGCCTCCTGAGTATCTGGGACTACAGGCATGCGCCACCACACTCAGCTAATTTTTGTATTTTTAGTAGAGACGGGGTTTCACCATGTTGGTCAGGCTGGTCTCGAACGCCTGACCTCAGGTGATCTGCCCGCTTCTGCCTCCCAAATTGTTGGGATTACAGGCATGAGCAACCTCACGTACATTTCAAACAAGTGACTCGGTCATTCCCTGCATGCAAAGGTCTGGTATACAAAGATGTAGGGCAGGGGACACACGAAACAGGAAGCCTGGCCCATCCTCACCCTTTGCCAATGTGGTTATGAAAACCAAGAGCAGCCAGGCGAGGTGGCTCACGGCTGTAATCCCAGCACTTTGGGAGGCCGAGTTGGGTGGATCACTTGAGGTCAGGAGTTTGAGACCAGCCTGGACAACATGGTGAAATCCGGTGTCTACTAAAAATACAAAAATTAGCCGGACGTGGTGGTGCATGCCTGTAGTCCCAGGTGCTTAAGAGGCTGAGGGAGAATTGCTTGAACCCAGGAAATGCAAGTTGCAGTGAGCTGAGATTGTGCCACTGCACTCCAGCCTGGGCGACAGAACAAGACTCCGTCTCAAAAAAACAAAAACCCAAAAATGAAAAACTAAACCAGAAAAACCGGATGAGCAACAGGGATGAGTCAGGAATGTGTTTTCTGCCACCCCTCGTCCCATTTCCTTGGCTAAGCTGTGGCCAAAGCACTCCCGGCCTTTTACACGTGGGACCTGCTGCTGGCTGTGGAGGCAGGAAGACTCTCCTCTCCAAATGAAACCGTGCGTGGGAAGAGTCACCCAATTCTCTCTGTGGCAGGGAGCGGCAGCCATGGAGCTCCTGGGTCTCCTGACAGGGGCAGGGCCTGCTGTTCCAGGGTGCCCGCCACCTCCCAGACCAGCTTGCACCACCTGCCTGTTAAGCTTGGTGTTAAGAGAAAAGGCAGGGATGAAAGAGACCCACGTGTAATCTCCATGTGAATTACACTTTTTTTTTCAGACAGAGTCTTGCTCTGTCCTCCAGGCTGCAGTGCAGTGATGCAATCTCAGCTCATGGCAACCTCTGCCTCCCAGGTTCAAGTGATTCTCCTGCTTCAGCCTCCCGAGTAGCTGGGATTACAGGCATGCGCCACCACCCCCAGCTAATTTTTGTATTTTTAGTAGAAACGGGGTTTCGCCATGTTGGCCAGGCTGGTCTCGAACTCCCGACCTCAAGTGATCCGCCCACCTTAGCCTCCCAAAGTACTGGGATTAGATGTGTGAGCCACCATGCCCGGCCTCTGAATTACACTTCTTAACCCGTATTGTCACCTCCCTCCCTCCTGGCTCTTTATTCAAACACCAGAACCGAATAAAAATCGTGTTTAATTGCAGAAGACACATTTATGTTGTAGCGTTTATTGGGTGCCCACCGCCGGCTGGGCACTGAGTTGGGCGTTTGCAGGACACGCAGTCACACAACACCTCACAACAGCCCTGTGAGGTAGGGATGAGTCCCGCGAACAGTCCAGAAAATGTGGGCTCCCAGGCACCCTGCCCACTCCCACAGCTAGGCAGGCGGTACAGCGGGGACTGAAGCAGTTCTTTTTGACTCCAGGTTCTATGCAGCTCTTGGTCCCATTGTTTTGGAGATTACAGGTTTGGTCCCAGAGTCCACTGAGCCCATTCACAACGTTTACAGGTTTTGTTTCCTATCCCCCACCCTCATTGTCCTTTTTGAAGTCTGGAAAAATATAATTTAAAAATGAATATGAGTGTACAGTTTGGAGTTCGGCAAATTAGTACACGTTCTGTTTGGTTCAGGGTCCCTCTCCATCTGGGTCTCTGGCGCAGCAGAGAGTTCTAAAGGGCATCTCAGCGGCCTCTCTCTGTCCCCGTCACTCCCAAGCACGTCTGAGGCCGCCAGTGAGGCTGGGACTCATGGGTTCCAGCAGAGGAAGAGGAGCTGGTGGGAGTGAAACGGGCAACAGCAAAGTGGAGGCGGGTAACCCTCCACAATGGCTGCTCAGCAAACATAGACATCCTCTTCATTCTTCTTGACCAAGAATCTGCAGTCCTCCTCCCTTCTTTAGAGCGCACGGCTTAGCTCTGACCCAGGCAAGCACAGGGCTTCCTGTGGTCTGCATGGAAAGCACCCAGCCAGCCCTGCCTGGGCCACCCGAGGGGGAGTGTGGGCCGAGGGTCACAGGACATCCGAGGCCTCCTCTGCAACTGCCTCATCTTACAGTGTGGGAAGCCGAGGCTGCGCGAGGAAGAGAATTCCCCGCATCTTCTAGTACTACCAATCCCAAAGACAGACAAAAGGGACCTGGCAAAGGAGATTCGAGTCTCCAAATCCTCACGACAGGCAGGCACCAGAACCAACGGCACTTTAACACAGAACTGGAAATGCAGCTCTCTTTGGTGATGGGGAACCCTAGCTCAGGGTTCCGTATCTCTTGTGCACTTTTTTCCCCCCACGAACACACTCTAGCCAAACGTGCCTCCCAGGAGATGGAGTGCACGCTCAGGTTCTAGAGAGCCCTCTGGCCTTGCACCACAAGCTGCGGGCGTGGGTCAAGGCTGTGTGCTGCCGCGGCCCTTCTCATCCCTGCTCAAGCATAGCCCGCTCTGGCCTCAGTGGTCCCCACCGCCTCAGCCTGCGTGACCGGGATCCCATTTCATCAAAGGTCCAGGACAGACACGCAGGGTTTGAAGGAAAAGTTCAATCAGCCCACCTGCACCTCTGCCTAATGCAGATGGGCTGTGTGCCGCACACCAGCGGCTGTGAGGAAGCCGGTGTAGTTGAGTCCGACTCCAGCGTCCCCTGCATTTAGGAGTTTGCCGTAAAGCCAACCCAGGAACACTGGGGCATTTCACTGCAGCCGCTCAGCGGAGGTGGCAACTCCCCTCCAGCTCTTCACCCAGTGTGACCATGACAACCATCTGGAAACAGGCGTCCCAGCCTTCCTCGGTTCAAAAATCCGAGCCTGCAAAGGCAGGGTAAATACAGTTTTTGCCTTTTCCCTTCTATCCGTAACTTACACCACTCCAAAGATTCTAAAACCATCTCTCCTGCCATTAACTCCACTTAAATGCCCTCAACACTTTGGCTGCTAGGTGTCTTGGTTTGGAATGCAGAGTCTGAGGTACTTGAGGTTGTTTTAATTCCGTAAATAGGAAAAGGGAAGTGAGGCAAATACTGAAGCTTGCAACCACAATCTCTCATCGGTTTGCTGAGGAAATTTTCTAAGATGAAAATAGAAAGGCACATGTCGCCCTGTGAAGGACGTGGCCCAGCCGCCTTCTGTCTGTCGCTGTCTCCCGCTACGACCTCTCACACAGGTAGGAAGCCCCTGCAGACAGCAGGGCCAGAGAAAGGACAGCTCGGACGGCCACCACACTTGAATTCTGTGCTTTCCTGGGCATAGGAGTAGCTACAAACTTTCCTTAAAAAAAAAACAAAAAAAACACACACAGTTTTTCAACAGGAAGAGTAAAGTAGAAGAACAGATCATTTAATTATACAAACAAAATCGCTTTCCTTTGCTCCAGGGAGTCCAGGCAACCTTTTAAGTTCATTTGCTGCCTGAAAGAAAGGTTTTTAGTATCAGAAAGAACCTCGCTCTCCTCCAATATTCACATGGAAAACAAGATCAGAAACAAAAGTCCACCATGGAAGAAATCCCAGAGTGATCCAATTTGGAAAGAATTTAATTAACAAAATAAAACGGAGGGAAAATGGTCCAGGTGGGGCCCCAGGGAGAGAGGGCTCCTGCCCCAGCCGAAGTCCGCCCAGCACACCTGGTGGGCAGCCCCTGGGCCTGTCACTGCAGAACTGGCCTTGACAACCAGACCCACTGTGCACAACGCCACGGCTTCCTTATGCACTCAGCATTATGTACAGATATTAAAAAACCCAACGGCAGGTGGCTGGAAAGTGGCTTCTAGCTCCCCTATGCTGGCTTGGCACGTTCATGCATGCAAAGCGAGGAGGTTTTGCGGGCTTCACCAAACAGTTAATTTTGGCAAAAAGAGAAAACAAACAAACAAAAAGCTAAAATTCATAAGCAGGATTTAAAAGCCACTGAAGTGAAAACGATGTATGTCCTCAGCGTTATGGAGTTAGACTACCACTACAATCTTTTTTTTTTTTTTTTTTTTTTTTTTTAATAAAGTCTCTGCCATCCTCTCCCCCGACTCAGGTCAAAGTTCATAGCAGCAATGCACAAAGTCCTCTGTGAAGCCAGTGTTCTCTGCTCCCCGGGTCAGAGGTCACAGGTCAAGTTCAGTCAGTCCGAAGAATCATGGGCGGGTGCTCGCTGTCCTCATCCAGGCGCAGGGCACTGGCCTCGTCCTCCAGGCAGGCGCCACCCACAGCACCCAGGTCGTCTGTGTAGGCTGCAAAGAGACGATGAAGTCACCCTTCAAAGGCTGGGGACACACCACAGACCCCATGACACAAACTGAGGACTGTGTTTTGGAAACACTGGTGTATGTTTATAAACTGCAGCCTGTATTAAGATGTTCTGAATTCTGATTGCTTTCTAATGAAATCTTTGTGGCCTTTGGCAGCTTGAGATGAAGTCATTTGTTCTCTGACATTCATAAATGTCAAAATGACACCTGCCCAGTAAACAGGGGCTCCCTAATGGACAGGCCACAAACTGCCTCAAGCTGGTTACACAGAGCTCAAAAATAACACCAGGAAAAAATAACGATACTAAGAGACTTTCAGGGCGGGCCTCACGAACCGGAAGCGCCGGTTCACGGATGGGAGTGGCGGAGAGCAGTGGGACAGCCCCACGTGGATGCAAAACCACAGGCTCTCCCGCTGGAGTGCAAGTTGGTTTTTTTAAGAAGGTGCCTCACACAGCCAAGGCTGTGGCTGGAGGATCTCGCACATGGGTCTTAGTGCTGCTGCCGGAGGGGAGCCCGTTGGCCTCGTTCCCCTACGGCTTCTGCACTTCACAGGCCCAGCACGAAGGCGGTACTCGATGCAGATTTGCTGAAGGACGAAAAAAAGGTGGGAGGGAAAGACCGAGGCCAAACTCTTGGCAGTACTTTTCAGGGTGGTATCTTAGCTGAGAGGTGGCCAGTCTGGGTGCAAGTCACATGCCCCCAGAGTCACCTGAGCTAGGATGACCACATTTTCTTCAAAAATGGGGCCTGGTACGGTGGCTCAGGCCTATAATCCCAGCACTTTGGGAGGCCGAGGTGGGAGAATCACTTGAGCCCAGGAGGAGTTTGAGACCACCCTGGGCAACATAGGAAGACCCCATCTCTACTTAAAAAAAAAAAAAAAAAAAAAAAAAAAGGAAAGGAAACTGAATTCAGCCTTGAGAGGCCTTGGCAGACCCATTTACCAACCTCGCCTATGTCCTCAGAACCAGTCCCCCACTTTCCCAATGAGGAGCCGGTAGGGTAGCTCCGGAGCCAGCAGGAGGCAGGAGCACTCCGGGGCAGTGGGTGGGGCTAATTACCTTCCAGGTTTGCATCACGCCCCTTACCAAGTCTCGTTGGGGATGAAGGCACGTAAGTACCTTTTGCTGTGGCTGCGCCGTATGTCTGAGTGACTAAGGGGCAGTCGTGAGAGGCAGAGTCCAAGATCTCATTGGCCGTCTCCAGGCTGCCATCTAGCCTGGAGGGGAGAAAGCGACACAGCTCAGTGTCTCCACACAGGGCGCCCTCGCGGGCAGCACACACTGGCTGCCTTGCCGCAACAGAGCCGACGTGCTACACACCACACAGGATGCCAGGCATTCATCACGAAACTTTCATCTCCTTGTGTATCTGTACACATTTTTACATGAAGAGTTTTACATGGAAAGTCTAAAGAGGGAGTTATACGTAACAAGGCAGTGTTTCTCTTTTACGATGGAAGAATATAATAACTAGGATTCATTATTTTAAGAAAAAGTCAGGCTAGGCCAGGCGCAATGGCTCACGCCTGTAATCCCAGCACTTTGGGAGGCCAAGGCGGGCGGATCACGAGTTCAGGAGATCGAGACCTGGCTAACACAGTGAAACCCCGTCTCTACTAAAAACACAAAAAATTAGCTGGGCGCGGTGGCAGGAGCCTGTGGTCCCAGCTACTCGGGAGGCTGAGGCAGGACAATCGCTTGAACCCGGGAGGGTGGAGCTTGCAGTGAGCCGAGATCGCGCCACTGTGCTCCAGCCTGGGTGACGGGGAGACTCCGTTTCACACAAAAAAATAAAAGGCTAGGTGCAGCGGCTCACTCCTGTTACCCCAACACTTGGGGAGGCCAAGGCAGGAGGCTCACTTGAGCCTAGGAGTTCCAGACCAGCCTGGACAACCTAGCAAGACCCTGCACAAAAAAATAATTAGCTGGATGTGCTGCGTGCCTGCAGTCCCACCTACTAGGGAGGCTGAGGTGGAAGAATCCCTTGAACCCGGGAGCTTAAGGCTGCAGTGAGCTGTGAATGTACCACTGCACTCCAGCCTGGCGAGGGTGACACCCTGTCTCTAAAATAAATAATTATATTGCTGCTGGAACTTTTTGATCATAAAAAAATGTGTGAGACAGAATGAAAATGCATTACTTCTCGATGAACAACTGTTAACTCCCTGTTTTCCAAGGACAAACCTGTACCTCACAGTGAGACAAGAGGCTCTCAACCACGCGCACTGACTTGTGGCGGCCACCACGCTGCACCCTTCCTTTCCGAATGCGAAACTCCACTCTGCGGACGAAGGCCTGGCCTCCCCGCGCCTCTCCCCCAGCTAAGAACAAATGCGGCTCCCCCGCCACCCCTGCGTTGTCTCTGTGCCCAGTCCCTGAGGGAGCCCTGATGCCGCCAGCCACAGCCCGGGGCTCGGGGCTCCCTGTCCTGCAGTGGCATCGATTTCACCTGGGAAAGCAAAGCTCCCGACCTGCGCGGCATGGGCCGCCATGCTGGCATCTGCCCCTTTATGTCACTGGTTTGCAAGGAAATAAACAAACATACGCCAGGTGCCCCAAAAGCGCGGAGCAGCTCCGTGAAGCGGCCGGAGCAGACTCACCGGTGCTGCTTCATCAGGGCGCACTCGCCGCCCTCCTGGGGGTCCAGGTTGTACATGTACAGGTACCCATCGGAGGCACCCACCAACAACCGCGGGATCTTCTGAATTCTAGGGAGGACAAAGAGCAGCCACATTCTAGCCAACTGTCACAAAACGGTCTCATTACACGGCAGCCTCACTTTTGGCAGGCCAGGGAGGAGACCCCAGCAGAATGAGCACAAGAGCAGCTGCAGGCGCCTGGTGCCCACTGACCTCAGCTCACAGGGCCAAGGCTGCACTTGTGGCTGAGCCCTGACGCCCATGGGAGACGAGAGCGGGACAAAACTGGTTTCGTGGCTTCTGGGATCATTATGGGGCCCTGAAGCCCACAGGAGAAGAAAGCGGGACAAAACCAGTTTCGTGGCTTCTGGGATTTATTATGTGGCCCTGAAGCCCACAGGAGATGAGAGTGGGACGAAGCTGTTTTCGTGGCTTCTGGGATTATTATGGGTAGTCGTTGTCAGAGAAGTTTTCGAGGACGCTAGTCAGATAACAAAACTGGAAAACGATGTTTAAAGACGCATGGAAGCCCAAAGCCCTGCTGTCACTGGATGTAATGACAATCTTTCCTGCACTCAGCACAGAACCTTAGACGATCCCAGAACGTTCACAGGCCCCATGTGTGTTCTGAAGCTGGACCCTGGGGCCGGCCAGACGCCTGAGACTCAGCAAGTGTGGTTTCTGTGGCCCCAAAGGGTTAACTATGGCACACTCACAAGGTTTGACTTAACGTCTTTCATTAAAACCACAGACTGTCCACAAAACAGAACGGGAGACCGTGTGGAAATGGACCCCACACAGAGCGGCAAGCCTAGTGCCTGCCAGGGCGCCTCCCATCCCTGACAACTCTCGACGGAGTGTCGGCTCTAAGGAGCTGCTCCTGTTCAGGAGAAACACGGAAGGGGTCACAAGCTACCAGGACTGGGCCCCTCGGCCTGAGGCACACGGGGTGGGGGATGCAGGCGCCGGCTCTACTCACGTGGCTAGCGAGCAGATGTTTTTGTGGCCGCAGAATGGCAGGCGGACCGTGGCGAAGGCTCTGCCCTGGTTGAACATTTCTGTCACTTGGGAAGGCAGGTAGCTGGTGGAGGCCATGAGCACTTTCCCGAAGTACCCGGTCCAGGTGGTGGGCTCCTCTGGGGGTCTGGAAGGAAAGGCCACTAGACACATGAAGCTGTACCCTCCCTGGGGGGATGGCCACCCCCTACTCACACAGACGCACAGCTCTGGAGCCAACAGCAAAAGTCTCCATTCTTCACAGGAAACTTAAGAAGGGTTGGTTATAAGCAGACACTCAGGGCCCCGGGGGCGTCATGGGGCTTCCTCTGGGAGGTGTCAGAGGAGGGGCGCTCAGCTTCAGGGAGAAGCAGCCGCAGCCTTTGAGTGGCCACAGCCAAGACGTGGCAGGTGATCACACATCCCCTTTACAAGGGTGTGAGGACGTCTAGGGCCTAACTGATGACCCCTGCTAGGTCTCTGTAACAGAAGTCTCCAAAAACCTTGAGTATAGACCCCAAAACGTTATTTTCCCATAGCCTATTTGTGTTGTTATTCATCTTTTTTGGGGGGGAGGGCGGGGCATGTTCCATTTGTCTTTTTAAAAATTGTGATGAAATATACATAACAAAATTTATTCTGACCATCTAAAGTATGTTATTGTAATGCTGATCGGAGTGGGATGTACTTTTTAAATTTTTTAAAGAGAGGCTGGGCACGGTGGCTCACAAGCAGATCACTTGAGCCCAGGAGTTCCAGACCAGCCTGGGCAACATAGCGAAATTCTGTGTCTACAAAAAATTTAAAAATTAGCCAGGCATGGTGCATGCCTTAGTCCCAGGTACTCAGGAGGCTGAGGCAGGAGGATGGCTTGAGCCCAGCAGCTGGAGGCTACAATGAGTAATGACTGTACCACTGCACTGCACTGCAGCCTGGACAACAGAGTAAGACCCTCTTAAAAGATAACACCCCAGTCACGCTACATATTCATGGCAATAATAAATACTGTGGAAGCCATCCATGTCTCTCTCTGCTTACCCGTGGGCAGGTAAGAGACAAGCCATTCATGGGCTGTCTGATCACGAACGCTTTCGTAGTGAGGGGAACCTGAGGAGGGGCCATCCGCACTGACTAGAGGATGTCCACCTGGGCCCTCCGTGCCCTACGCAAGGCCTCTGTCTATTCTGCATGCTGCCCGCGGGAGAAGCTCATCTGCTGGGGCCCGTCCTCCTCACTGCCAAGCCTGGATGTGGAGGTGCTCGTTCCATGGCCAGCTTCAAGGTCTTCACTGGTTAACAATGTCAGAGGGTGAGCGGACCCGTGCTTACTTCCCATCCCGGCAGCAAGAGGGGACAAAGGGTTTTGCATCATTTTTAAAGGAACGTATATTTGCAACTCACTTTTCTTTCACAGTCTCGAGTTTGAAGATGTGCACGGTCTCCGTGTTGCTGGAGGCGGAGAGGAACATGCCGTCCATGCTGAAGGCCAGGGAGCAGATGCTCACACACCTGGGGAGATGCGCAGGTCGGGGCGGGCCACCGGAGCCAGCAGCTGCCCCAGGGGTTCAACTCAAGTGGAGGAGAAGAGTTCCTGTCACGGGCACACTTGGGCCTGCTGGTAAGTTTTATTCCCCTCCAACCACCTTCTCAAAAGGAAATACTAAGAACAATTTGTTAACAGAGCTGCAACCTTCCAGATGACAAAAGAAATAGGAATTCACTAAACCACTTTTAGCTGAATTAGGATGGATTTATAGTCCTAAGGTGAGTAAAAGAAAACTCAATAATTTAAGTTATAGCCATTCTTTCCACACCAGAGGGTAAATAGGCAACCTTGGTGAAGTTTAAGAACAGAGCAGGCCGGGCGCGGTGGCTAAAGCCTGTAATCCCAGCACTTTGGGAGGCCAAGACGGGCAGATCACGAGGTCAGAAGATCGAGACCATCCTGGCTAACACAGTGAAACGCCATCTCTACTAAAAAATACAAAAAACTAGCCGGGCGAGGTGGCGGGCGCCTATAGTCCCAGCTACTCGGAGGCTGAGGCAGGAGAATGGCGTAAACCCAGGAGGCGGAGCTTGCAGTGAGCTGAGATCTGGCCACTGCGCTTCAGCCTGGGCAACAGAGCAAGACTGCGTCTCAAAAAAAAAAAAAAAAAAAAAAAGAACAGAGCAAAGGGCTGGGCATGGTGGCTTACACCTATAATCCCAGCACTTTGGGAGGCTGAGGTGGAAGGATCACGAGGTCAAGATATTGAGACCATCCTGGCCAACACAGTGAAACCCCGTCTCTACTGAAATTACAAAAATTAGCTGGCTGTGGTGGTGGGTGCCTGTAGTCCCAGCTACTCAGGAGGCTGAGGCAGAAGAATCGCTTGAACCTTGGAGGCAGAGGTTGCAGTGAGCTGAGATCGCACCACTGCACTCCAGCCTGGGTGACAGAATGAGACTGTCTCAATTAAAAAGAAAAAAAAAAAGGGCCGGGTGCAGTGGCTCACGCCTGTAATCCCAGCACTTTGGGAGGCTGAGGCGGGTGGATCACAAGGTCAGGAGATCGAGACCATCCTGGTTAACACGGTGAAACCCTGTCTCTACTAAAAATACAAAAAAATTAGCCGGGCGTGGTGGCGGGCGCCTATAGCCCCAGCTACTCTGGAGGCTGAGGCAGGAGAATGGCATGAACCTGGGAGGCGGAGTTGCAGTGAGCCGAGATCATGCCACTGCACTCCAGCCTGGGCGACAGAGCAAGACTCCGTCTCAAAAAAAAAAAAAAAAAAAAAAAAAGAACAGAGCAAAACTTTCAACAGGCAAAGTGGTTCAAGTGTATCTTAAAAATTAACTGGCATTCCAAAGCCACTAAATTCATGTGAATTTCTTCATAACACTAGAAATACAAGATACTTTCAGCCCTGGCCCTAATAGCAAGGGGTTTTCCTGGCGTCAGTGTTGACCATGTGTATTAATTAGGTATGGGTATGAATTAGGAATGGTTCCCGCCTTAATGCAGCATCCAACGATGGGAGTGGGGTCAGGCAGGTGCGAATGAAACCGCCTTTGAAAAATGATGCCTGAAATGGGGTAAGAGATCTGTTCACTGACTCCATCTTGCTTCTAATCTCCAAGCTATCCTTGTTCATTCCTGGGCATAGGCTGTTTTAACTTTGGGAGGAACTTTGCTTACGATATTTTGCAGACCCTGCACCTGATGGATCCGCTGGCCCCACACAGATCAATCAACTGGCTCATCTGATCTTGTGGCCCCCACCCGGCAACTGCCGAGTGCAAGAAGACAGCTCCGACTCCCTAAGATTTCATCTCTGACAATCAGCCCTCCTGGCCCACTGGCTTCTCCCCACCCAAGTTATCCTTAAAACCTTTGCTCCCCGAATGCTCAGAGAGACTGATTTGAGTAGTAATAAAACTCCAGCCTCCTGCACAGCCGGCTCTGCATGAATTACTTTCTCTACTGCAATTCCCGTCTTAATGAATCGGCTCTGTCTAGGCAGCGGGCGAGGTGAACCCCTTGGGTGGTCACCCAAATATTCCATTTGCTACAGGCAAAGGAATGTGAGAAAAATACACGTGGAAGGCACTAGAAATCTTGGAGAAAGGGATTTAACCCAAGGATCAAAAAAAGGCCTCCTTGAGAGTGACACCTGACTTGGACTCCCAGCGTTACGGAACCCGGCCAGGCCACCAGATCCGCCAGCCCATGCAAGACCCTGGTGGGTAAAAGAGATCAGCTCTTCCGAGGATCTGAAAGTGTGGTACTGCTGGAGCCAGGACAGGGACAGTGAAACAGAATCAGGCTGGGTGGAAGGGCTGGTGCCGGGAGGCCTGGTAAACCAAGGCAGGGAGCTGGGGACTCAACCTGCAAGACAGAGGGGTGATGGGAGATGTCAGGTGGGGTGTGATTGGATTATATTTACATTTTCAAAGAACAGCCTGGGTGAGAGTCTGAAGAATGGCCTGATGGGAATCCAGGGCAACAGCAGAAACCAGGCAAAGCCTGGATCAGGCGGCGTGGCGAGTGGGGCACAGGCCAGGCCCACAGCCGGGAGCTCCCTAGAGGCACTGTTCAGGCAGAAGGCTGCAGGGCCCAGTCCTTCTGGCTTGGGTGCCAGGGTGCTGGCGGGGGTGGCGAGTGGCGCTATTTACCAGGATGGGGGTGTGAGGGATGAGGGGCAGGGGCAAACTGGCCTGGGTGGCTTGAGGTGCCCAGTAGGCAGGAGGAATACAGGCACCTCAAGGAAGCCAGGCTACACGTCTACCCCGGGATCGGCACACACGCAGGCCACGGGGGTGAGGAAGGGGGTCAGGTGAGGAGCGGCTCCAGGGCAGAAACAGGCACAGGAGGGGAACTGAGCAGAAGCAGCAACACAGGAAAAATACAGAAAGGTGTGGTGTGAGGAGGACCAAGGGACACGAGGAGGCAGGAGCTGGAGGAGCGGTGATGTTTGGGGATACCGAGGTGCACCTGCTGCACCTGTGGGGATCCCATGAGGAAGGAGGACCAGATGGCGGGAGAGTCCCCGAAACACAGCCCCTCCCTCTTTCAACGGCCACCCTCAGGGAGGGAGGTACTGATCTGAGACGAGGAGCCAGAGACTTGAGGTCGGGTCCCGCTGACCACCACCATGCTATTGCAAGTGGTCCCTAGGGCTCCCATCTGAGGCACTGGCTCCAGAGCCTGAGGCCTCCCCTGCTCTGCTGTCCGATGAGGGAGGGAGAGTCCTGCCTCCAAAGCAGGCGCCACAGGGGGCATGCTAAGCACAGATGAGGGAAGCTTTGCAGCCTGGAGTGAGGAAGACAAGGGAACTCCAAGCTGCGATTTCTGGGTTAAAAGAAGGGGCCGACGCCACTTGCTGAGGGTAAAAGCAGAGCTGGAGAGCTGCGAACAGGTTCTCAGAGCGCAGCCTTTAAAGGGGAGGGTGTGCTTCCCATGAGGTCGCTGCCCCGTCCCTTAGTGCCAGCTGGGAGCACAGGGCACAGGAGGGCCCAGCTGGTTATGTGAGTTCTTCGCAACTCTCACGCTAGCTAATGGAATCGCAAACACACACCCAGTTTGCTTTTCTGAAAGTGCTCGTGAACTCCCGTGACAAGACCGACTCCCTAGATCTCACCCGGTGACCCAGCTGGGATAGAAATGCTCGTGTGGAATTCTCCTGGGGTTTCTACTTGTTTGTAGATAACATATAACTGAAATCCAAATACAAGTTCTCCAGAATCCATTCCGGACATTCATAGACTTTACCTCTTCACTCCTCTCCGAAACTCAAAGAGTTTTTGTCCTTCTGGAATGGAAAATACCCTAATCACGGTCCCCTGTGGAAGGAAAAGAGAAAAGAAGAATTGGAGCTGAGTTAGAACAAGAATTTCCGATCTTCCACAGCAGACTGCAAATGCGCCACAGGGCTATCTCCAGGACAGCTCTGCCCTGGGCCACCAGGCAGTTTGGGGTCCCCCAGGGCCCCCCTTGAGTGTCACCTCCACACTTTTTGCCCCGAGCATAGAAAAACACCTCCCTGTTCTATTGTTGACTTAATGTTCAATCTTTTCTTTAAACCTATTTTAATTGACTACTTACCCTCGACACTAACAGTCTTGAGGGCAAAAGTGGCATATCATTCTATTGTTCTGAGTCGTTTGAAGTTTAAACTATTAAAAATAAAAGCCTGGACCAGGCGCAGTGGCTCACGCCTGTAATTCCAGCACTTTGGGAGGCTGAGGCGGGCAGATCACCAGAGGTCAGGAGTTTGAGACCAGCCTGACCAACATGGAGAAACCTTGTCTCTACTAAAAATACAAAATTAGCCGGAAGTGGTGGCGCATGCCTGTAGTCCCAGCTACTCAGGAGGCTGAGGCAGGAGAATTGCTTGCACCTGGGAGGCGGAGGTTGTAGTGAGCCGAGATCGCGCCATTGCACTCCAGCTCTGGGCGACAGAGCAAGACTCCGTCTTGGAAAAAAAATAAATAAATAAATAAAAAATAAATAAAAGCCTGGACTTGTGTGTGGCACACAGGCAAGACCTTGTGGTCTGACGAGGCTTCAGACCCCACCAAGGTCTTTTCTGCCACTTTAAATTCAGTTACTGACCAAGAGTCGATTAGCTGGAAATCTCAACTACCTTATAAGCAGTCAATCCCAACTCACGAAATGGGAAGATGCACATGAAGAAAATCTTACTAAGACAAAGAACTAGGAATACAAACATGTGCCTGCTTTAATGGGAAGTGTCCTGAAGATGCCAACTTCCCCCAGTAAGTTAGTATCAGATGTGCGGATAATGAAACAGATATGAACATCCGGGGGAATAGAGAAGCACCAAGAAAATAGTGAGCAGGACTTTCAATGCTTGAATATTAAAAGAATACTAATCAAGTGATATAATGGTATTAAATCAGCACAAAAAGAAACAGACTGATGGAAAGCAAGGCCTTAAAATGGGTAGCATTCCAACTTTGCAGGGCAGGAAGAATTATTCAACATTCACACCCCTACTATACAAATTTCAGGAGGTTCAAACTGTTTTTTTTTTTTTTTTTTTTTTGAGACAGAGTCTCGCTCTGTCGCCCAGGCTGGAGTGCAGTGGCTGGATCTCAGCTCACTGCAAGCTCTGCCTCCCGGGTTCACGCCATTCTCCTGCCTCAGCCTCCCAAGTAGCTGGGACTACAGGCGCCCGCCACCTCGCCCGGCTAGTTTTTTGTGTTTTTTTTAGTGGAGATGGGGTTTCACCGTGTTAGCCAGGATGGTCTCGATCTCCTGACCTCATGATCCGCCCGTCTCGGCCTCCCAAAGTGCTGGGATTACAGGCTTGAGCCACCGCGCCCGGCCTTCAAACTGTTAAATATGAAAACTGTTCAGAATATTTAGACTGACGGAAGGCCGAGGTGGGCAGATCTCCTGAGGTCAGGAGTTCGAGACCACCCTGGGCAACATGGTGAAACCCTGTCTCTACTAAAATACAAAAAAATTAGCCGGGTGTGGGCCGGGTGCAGTGGCTCATGCCTGTAATCCCAACAGGTGCCCAGTAGGCAGGATGAATATGGGCACCTCAAGGAAGCCAGGCTACACGTCTAGCCCCAGGATCGGCACACACACAGGCCAAAGGGGTGAGGAAGGGGGCTGGGTGAGGAGCGGCTCCAGGGCAGAAACAGGCACAGGAGGGGAACTGAGCAGAAGCAGCAACACAGGAAAAACACAGAAAAGTGTGGTGTGAGGAAGACCAAGGGACACGAGGAGGCAGGAGCTCTACTAAAAATACAAAATTAGTTGGGCGTCAGGGTGCATGCCTGTAATCCGAGCTACTCAGGAGACTGAGGCAGGAGAATCGCTAGAACCCGGGAGGCAGAGGTTGCAGTGAGCCGAGATCACACCACTGCACTTGAGCCTAGGCGACAGAGCAAAACTCCATCTCAAAAAAAAAAAAAAAAAAAAAAAAAAAAATAGCTGGGTGTGGTGGCACGCACCTGTAGTCCCAGCTACTTGGGATGCTGAGGCATGAGAATCGCTTGAGCCCCAGAGGTGGAGGTTGCAGTGAGCTGAGATCGTGCCAATGTACTCCAACTTGGGCTACAGAGAGACTCCGTCTCAAAAGAAAAAAAAAAAAAAGTAAAGAAAAGAATACCTAGGCCAAATACAGTACCTCATGCCTGTAATCCCAGCAGTTGGGGAGGCCAAGACAGGAGAAACAAACACTAGAGCCCAGGAGTTGAAGACCAGCCTGGGCAACATAGCGAGACCCCATCTCTACAAAAAACAAACAAAAAAAGCCAAGCCTGATGGTTCACTCCTGTTGTCCCAGGAGTGGAGGCTGCAGTGAGCCATGATCACGCCACTGCACTATCTCTGTGTTTATAAATAGTACAAAGCGGCCGGGCGTGGTGGCTCACTCCTGTAATCCCAGCACTTTGGGAGGCCGGGCGCGGTGGCTCACTCCTGTAATCCCAGCACTTTGGGAGGCCAAGGTGGGTGGTGACGAGGTCAGGAGTTCAAGACCAGCCTGACTAACATGGTTAAACCTCATCTACTCAAAATACAAAAATTAGCTGGGTGTAGTGGTGTGCACTTGTAATCCCAGCTATTTAGGAGGCTGAGGCAGGAGAATGGCTTGAACCCAGGAGGCGGAGGTTGTGGTGAGCTGAGATCACACCACACTGTACTCTAGCCTGCGTGACAGAGCAAGACTCTGTTTCCAAAAAAAAAAAAAAAAAAAAAAAAAAAAAGCAGCAGATGACCTACAGTGTAGAACACCAAAGAATTGTTTAGATAAATTATGGTAAACTTATACAATGGGAGAGTATACAGCCATTAGAAATCAGGATACAGGCCAGGCACAGAGGCTCCCTCCTGTAATTCTAGCACTTTGGGAGGCTGAGGTGAGTAGATTGCTTGAGCTCAGGAGTTAGAAACCACCCTGGCCAACATGGAGAAACCCCATCTCTACAAAAAATACAAAAATCAGCCGGGTGTGGTGGTGGGTGCCTGTAGTCTTGGCTACTTGGGAGGCTGAGGTAGAAGGATCACTTGAGCCTGGGAAGTGGAGGTTGCAGAGAGCAGAGATTGTGCCACAGTACTCCAGCCTGGGCGACAGAGCAAGCAAGACCTGTCTCAAAAAAAAAAAAATTGGTACTTGAGGATAGTTGGTTCTCTCTGGATGGAGGGACACAAACTGAGTTTACAACATTGAGAATTAGAGAATGAAATATTTTCTGCATCCATATATAAAAATAACCATGGCAAAGGTTTTGTCCTCTGCAGCCTACACTTTTAGATGGAGACATAATTTTTTGGTGCACATCTACCATGCAATACTCATTAATTAAGAGTTGTTTTGTTGCCACATGACTGCAAGATTCTTGAAAGTAGGATTAAGTCACAGGCTTCAGTGGGGCCTCAGCACCTGGCACAGAGCAGGGCTAGGAAGGCCTTGCCGCTCTCACTCAACAGGTAAGAGGATTCCATGTAAAAGAAATCAAGTTTCCTCTTTATAGTCCAGAAAAAAATTATTCTATTTTTATGGGCCATAAAATTCCATCAAGTACTTTTGGGCCTTTGTAAGAGCTACTAAAAAACTTAACAGTGAGACTTTGATTAGTCAAAGGGTAACAGAATTTCAGGGCCATTTCAAAGGGAAAAGAAAAGGACAAGGTGATATTGGGACAGTCCAGCCTAATCAGAATCAAAGTCAGGCTTGGAGTCTGACCCCTCTGTTGCTGCCCGACTGGGCAGCCCCGGGCACACTGCTTAACCTCTCTGAGCCCTTGCTATGAAAGAGAAATACTTACCTTGCTGAGGGGGAACAAAGGAGGTAATGAAGATAAAAGATCCAGGATAATTCACGACCCAGAAGTGACCCATAAGCGGTGACATGATTATTACAGAACTCAGGTGTGAGACTGAAGAACAAAGATCCAGGCGGGAAAGCTAAGGAAGTGAGCCGACTTTTTATTGTATCTTATCTAGTCCATAGTTTGAGGGGAGAGATGACTTGAAAGGGGAGGCTATTTTAGGATTTCAATGAGAAGCAAAATCATATCCAAATCAAAGTAAAGGTCATCGGTGGGCAATGGAGAGCAGACTGGCATCCAGAGGGGACAACGGAGGTGGGAGAGCAGACGCGACCTCAAGACAGAAGAAGAGAAGACGGAACTTTCAAGAAAAGAGGAACCAAAACGAAAAGAGAGGCACAGTTCAAGTGAGGAAGAGAACGAGGAGCCTTCAGTCTCCTGGAGGCTGAGGGAGCCTCGCCACACGGTCACAGGTACACAGGGACATTTAGAGGCCATCCATCTCCTTTAAAGCCAGACATTCTTCTTACTGGAATCTCTTAAATTCGTAGTTAGAAATACACATGAAAGATTGAGACAAGACTTAAATACACTACTACCTATGGCAGCAACATATTAGAAACGTAAAGTCCCAAAAGGGTGATGTGGACATAAATCACAACTGAATACTGCACGGCCATTACAAGTGTTTTTGAACTTAGAGAAATGTCATGCAGAGTGAAAAAGGATAAATTACACCCATAGTAGGATCCCAATTTTGTTGACTAAAGAGAAAATGAAAGGAAATACATTGAAATGTGTTCAGATTGGCTGGATAGAATTCTGTCCTTGCTTTTTCACGTTTCATCACTGTCTGGGTTCTTTACTGTTATGTATTAGTTTTATCATTTAGAAACACACTGGGTGAGCAGTGTGGTTACACACGGCACTTCTGTCTCTGGACATTTCTGTAATTTTTTACTACAAACATGGACCAGTTCTCCCGTCCCAGTGGCACACCGCAAGCGCCGCTCACTCTCGGGCAGCACACGCCCACGGCCTGACAAGCAGGTGGCTGTCTTTGCTTCTCCCGAAGCTGGTAAGCATAGGACCTTGCCTCTAAGTTGGCTGTGTGAACAGAAATGAAAAAGTCTGTGGACGCCGGGGCACCAGTACTCCCCCAGGGAAAAGCAGACTCACCTTCTCTGAAGCCGTGGCAAGTTTAGTTCCGCTTGCATCAAAGGCCAATGCCGCTAAAGGACTGTCATGAGCCGGAATCATGTTTGCAGCTCTCTGAAAAAGGGACACCAATAAAGTGTGGCCGCCACGCAGTGACAGGCCACGCCCCAGGGCTGGCACTCGGTCTGCAGTCTGAAAACGCCAATTAGCTGTTCCTAAAACACCATTGCAGTCCATACAAATGCCAAACCCACTTGATTTTCTGGGGCTGGGCATTCAAGGAAATGTTGCTCCAACTTTAGAAAAAGCAAAGCAGTTTATCCCGAAGGTTTTCTATGTTCCTTCAAACATTCCCGTGGTGAGGAGCTCAGCACTGGTCTGAACGCTGCAGCAGATCCAGAAGCAGAATGAGCCAGACCTGCTCTGCTACTGACAGAGAGTAGCGGGGCTGGGCGTGGGGCACCCACCTGTAATCCCAGCACTTTAGGGGGCCAAGGTGGGAGGATGGTTTGAGGCCAGCCTGGGCAACCCAGCAAGACTCCATCTCTACAAAAATAAAAAATTAGCTGGGTGTGGTGTTGCATGACTGTAACTCCTTGGGAGGCTGAGGCAGGAGGATCACTTGAGCCCGGGAGGTTGAGGCTGCAGCGAACTCGGACTGCATCACCACACTCCAGCCTGAGCGATAGAGCGAGACCCTGTCTCAAAAAAAAAAAAAAAAAAAAGAAAAAAAATGCAGTGGTTGTATTGCTGAGCCAAGAAAATCAGGATGTCAGGGACACCGCAGTGCTCCTCTTCAGGAAAAAGCCACACTTTAGAGAGCTATTCGAGTAGGAAAGGCATCTCACCAAATTAATGGTATCGAAGACCTGCACCTCTCCGATGGTCGCGCTCCCTGGGTACGCCAAGTAGCAGTTGTCGTTGTTGATTGACAGTGCACACAGGCCTGCAAATGACACACGGAGGACGAGATGCAAACTTCACCTGAGAGCTCCTTCTTGGATGTCAGACATAATTCAGCATTTATTTAACAGAGCATTAGGAACAAATAATAGCTTGGATACAATCTTGTTTGCTGTGTTAAGAAAGTTCTGCAAAGCAACCCCAAATCCCCACCTTAGGTGATACCAGTATTGTAAAGAGATTAAACGCCTTTGGTTTGAACTGATCAGTAACCTCAAACTTGAAAGTTGATCAAACCAATGAGTTTATGTGGTCACATGACCAGCATCAGTAGGCAGGCAGCTTGGTTTGGGATCAATACTTTTAAAATCTGTCTCATCTGCGGAACCTATAAAAAGAAAAAATCTCTCTCACCTATAGCTATCTTTCAAGGGCAAAATCAGAAAAAGGATTCTTTCCTCACAAGTTAGCTCACCTGCAGGGTTTGGAGGCGTCTCCCTGATTGTATGCAGCACCTTCATGTCCCGAATGTTGTGGATGTACAGGGACTCCTCCAGGCACACTATCAGCCTCTAGGCGAGAGAGGAAACGAAACCAAATGTGAAGCAAAGCCAGTGCAACATCTGCCCCAACCTCCACTTGACTGACTCCTGGATTAGACACTCTTGTTTCTTCTATTGCTATTGTATTTTATTTTTTTGGAGTCAACGTCTCACTGTGTCACCCAGGCTGGAGTGCAATGGCGTGATCTTGGCTCACTGCAACCTCTGCCTCCCGGGTTCAAGTGATTCTCCTGCCTCAGCCTCCCAAGTAGCTGGGATTACAGGTGCCTGCCACCATGCCTGGCTAATTTTTGTATTTTTAGTAGAGATGGGGTTTCGCCATGTTGGCCAGGCTGGTCTCGAACTCCTGACCTCAGGTGATCCACTCCTGCCTTGGCCTCACAATCTTAGTTCCTTCTAGAACACCATGCAGACCAATGTTGGAAGTGCCGAGGATACAGCTGTTTTCTACCAATAATCAAGAAGGAGCCGGCCCGGGTACACTTCTCTCTCATACTCACCCCAGCTCCACTGGGAATTCTAACGAGATCATTTTAGTTCAGTGTTAGGCAAATGCTAACCTACAGCTAAGACAAGTGTGCTGTCAATAGACTTGGAAAGATTTGCTTTTTAAAACTGATGCTGAGTGCGGCACAGGTAAAATGAAAATAAGGGGGTTTTAAAAGGTCTAACACTTTATTGTGCACTCAGATTATTTTGCAAGTTCCTGCTCCATTTGGAAGAAAATGAATGTGGACATGCAGACAATGCATCGCTGCGACGATTTATGCAAGAAAGATGACGGGCATGCACCCAGCTCTACATTAGTTGGATGTGAACACAATTTGTATGCTTTACAATTTTTAAATGCTGAAGATATTATGCCTTATAATTTCCCATTCTAACCAACTCTGTCAGTTAACAGACCAGTTCCCAGTTTCAAGTGTATAAGGTAAGAGCGTCTTTACTGTGACTTCACCTAGTCACCGTATCTCAGAGTGCAGCTACTGGCTGTCAACGTGTCCACTCTACAGCCAGCAGCCTCATCAGCTTTCCCCGCGGGGAATGTGGGCAGAATCAGATTGTGAGGGGTCCCCCGGGTGGCGCTGTTACCCTGGGCGTGAGCACAAGCTGGGAGACGGCCTCGTGAAACACGCACACGTGCCACCCACCATGTCCTTCCTCCGTGCCAGTCTTATTAGTTTAGGGGGAGATAAAGTAATAAATCCTTCATTTTGAATTCAAAGTTAAATTAACAATTTACAAAAGGAAAAAAAAGTCTAAAACTTTTTTTTTCTTTTTGAGACAAAGTCTCGCTCTTGCTGCCCAAGCTGGAGTGCAATGACATGACCTCGGCTTATTGCAACTTCCAACTCCTGGGTTCAAGCAATTCTCCTGCCTTAGACTCCTGAGTAGCTGGGATTACAGGTGCCTGCCACCACACCTGGCTAATTTTTGTATTTTTAGTAGAGATGGGGTTTCATCATGTTGGCCAGGCTGGTCTCAAACTCCTGACCTCAGGCAATCTGCCCACCTCGGTCTCCCAAAGTGCTGGGATTACAGGTATGAGCCACTGTGCCTGGCCAAATATTTTTTTTTTTTTTTTTTTTTGAGACAGAGTCTCGCTGTTTCGCCCAGGCTGGAGTGCAGTGGCCAGATCTCAGCTCACTGCAAGCTCCGCCTCCCGGGTTCACGCCATTCTCCTGCCTCAGCCTCCCAAGTAGCTGGGACCACAGGCGCCTGCCACCTCGCCCGGCTAGTTTTTTGTATTTTTTTAGTAGAGACGGGGTTTCACCGTGTTAGCCAGGATGGTCTTGATCTCCTGACCTCGTGATCCGCCCGTCTCGGCCTCCCAAAGTGCTGGGATTACAGGCTTGAGCCACCGCGCCCGGCCAATATTTTTTGTTTTTAAGTAACATTTATAAAAGCAAAACCAGGTAATAAGTGAAAGAAACTCTGACATCCACCCTCTGGGTGGGGCCGGGGACGCCTGTATGGGAACAGTGTGGCAGAGGCCTGGGCATCTGTTGTGAATGGAACAGGCTGAGCAAAGCTGGTGGGTGAGGAAACAGAGCTGGTCGCTGTAGGCAAGGATCTGTGGCCGGCACCGTGGGGCCAGGCAGCAAGGGAATGATGGAGGGGCATGCCGGTTGGGTGGGCTTGTCCCAGAGTGCTGGAGGGAGCAACGGACAAGCCCACACCCAGGTGGGGCTGCGCTCACCTGCCTGTTGAGCTTCACAGCCAGAATCGTGTTGGAGTAGCTGTAGTTGCAGATCTCAGTTCCCTTCTTAAAGTGGCAAACCTTTAGCTTCCTTGGTGCTTTAAGGCTCACGATGGCCACTAGGCTGCTGGAGAACAATCTCTCTACGATGCACACATCTTCCGTGTCAGCTGAAATCACAAAGGTAAGTATATGCGTGAACATCTCCACATGGCTATGGCCATAGGTAGAGTCTGCGCTCAAAAACAAACACCTGCCTGGGTGACACGCAGGGCACAGCGCTGGGGGTGCCTGCAGAACATGTGGTCATGCAGTGGGGACAGCCCCGGGGGTCTGAGGGTCTTGACTGGCTGCAGCCTCAGGAGCGTTTCCACTGTAAGGATGGCCCCTCATGAGCATTCACACGAAAGACAAAGGTTCCTTTCAATCAGTTCTGTTGCTGGATTTGAATGGTGTAACCTAAAAACACACGAGTTCAGGAACCAAACTACCAGGTAAAGTGAAAGAGTAAGGTCTAGGGGCTCCCTTCATTAAGACACAAACTACTAGGAAACTGCAGTTGCTTCCCCTGGGTTCCACAGACTCATGTGCTGAGCGCTGGCCTACGTGCTCGCATACCGCGGGTGGCCAAAGAACCACACGTCCCAAGTGGCCTGACACATATTTACTTATTAAAAAGATGTTGCTCTTACACTCATGTGTCACAAAACGCTGACATACATTCTAAGAAATGCCCTGTAGGGGCCGGGTGTGATGGCTCACGCCTGTAATCCCAGCACTTTGGGGGGCTGATGCGGGCGGATCAGAGGTCAGGAGAGGGAGACCATCTTGGCTAATATGGCGAAACGCCATCTCTACTAAAAATAAAAAAAATTAGCCGGGCATGTTGGCGGGTGCCTGTAGTCCCAGCTACTCGGGAGGCTGAGGCAGGAGAATGGTGTGAACCCGGGAGGTGGAGCTTGCAGTTAGCCGAGATCGCGCCACTGCACTCCAGCTTGGGCGACAGAGTGAGACTCCGTCTCGGGGGGGGAAACAAACAAACAAACACACACTAAGAAACACCCTGTAAGCAATTCTGCCGTGCAAACACAAATCTAGATGGTAGGCCTACTACGCCCCTAGGCTGTATGCTGTGGCCTGTGGCTCCTGGCTCCAGATTTGCACAGCATGTGACTAACTGGATACTGTGGCCAGCGGCAGCACAGTGACAAGTACTCGTGTGTCTAAATGAAACATGGGAAAACTGCAGCAAAAACATGGCCTGCTCCTCTCACAGGACCACCGTCGCACCCGCAGCCCCTCGCTGCCCCACACGCCATCGTGCAGCATGACACCACTTCAAATGGAACAGGCCATAAACACAAGTGCATCATCCTAAGCTCTTCACAGCGTCCATTCAGTGTCTTCTCAGTTGCTTTTACCAGAAAGCTGCCATAAAACCTTCTTTCTGACAACAGCAAGTGACCTTCATTCAAAAGGAACACATGCAAGCGTCTGCCACAAATAGGGAGACGGTGGCGTGGTTGCAGGGCCAGGGAGGACAGGCTCTGTCCGCAGCTTCTCTGCTCAGGAGCATCTCAGACTAGGGGCCACCGTCTTCCAGGATCTATCAACGAAAGGCACAATCAGGAGGGATCACGCCAGTGCGTGGACACAGGAGTCTTTGTCAGCAGATGCACCTCTAGCACCTGGCACGCAGCACCACTCAGACACGAGGCCAACCCAACTCAGAGACAGTGCATAACACGGAATGTCAATTATTTGCAGTAAAAATAATTTCCCTAAAGATCAGACCCTGGTTCTCCGACCAGTCCTCTCTTTCCCTCAGGAGATCGACATGGATACCAGGTTATGGCAGCCCTGCTTGCTAGGCGGTGGGCGACAAAGAGGGTTGGGGCCAGATGCGGTGCTTCACACCTGTAATCCCCGCACTTTGGGAGGCCAAGGTAGGAGGACTGCTTGAGGCCAGGAATTCGACACCAGCCTGGGCAACACAGTGAGGTCCCATCTCTACAAAAAAATACAAAAATTAGTTGGGTGTGGTGGTGCATGCCTGTGGTAGCTGAGGTAGGAAGAATGCCTGATCCCAGGAGGCTGAGGCTGCAATGAGCTGTGATCGTGCTCCTGCACGCCAGCCCAGGCAAAAGAGTGAGACCCTGTCTGTAATACCAGCCCTGCCCCCAAAAGGAGGGTGGGACTGAATGACGATCGTGGCTGGTGTCCTGAGGCTGCTACCCTCACTTCTCGAATCCAGCAGCCAGATGTGCAAATCCAGTGGCACAAGGCCCTTCCTCCGCCACTGTCCAGCCTCTCACTCTCCAGGCACCCTGTTCTCAGGTAGTACTTGGTAGTATTTGGGGCTGCACGCACTGGCCCAGTTGCATCCTGTACCTGTCGCCTCTAGCAGTCACCACGCTTACCACTGAGAATCTAGGCAATGGCTGAGCGACAAAGTTCCCAGCTGGACCGATGGTCTGAGGACAGGTGCCGTGTTTGGCCCATTCACGGCTGCACCCCCAGGTCTAATGTCACCTGTCATGGAGGAGGAGCTCCTTCCACACTGGCTGAACGGATGGAATGGACCTTATGACCAGATTTTGGATATTTCTCAAACTCCCCCAAATGGTGTTGTTTTAAAAACACCATTAAAAACAAAACCAAACAAACAAAAAAACTCAATCTCTGTGCCATTCAGTTTCAGTGGTGAAATGCTGTTACCCCCAGTACCACACCAAGAGGCAGAAGTGCTCTTGGTGAAGCTCAGCGGCATGCGTCCTAACACACGCGCTGGGCGTGCGTGCAGCACCGCAACCTTGGCGAGTACTGGGTGCAACGGCGACCATGCAGGAACACGAATTTAACAATCACATTCCAGTCTCAGCTCTCTTCTAATTAGCTGTAAGGCCTGGTACCTATTTCCCGAATGGTGATAGAAGAGTTGGACTCTCGGCTTCAACTCCAGGGCTGGGACACATAGGAAAACCTGGTATACACAAAACTGGTTTTTTATTAAGTAAAATTTTATTTAAATCCACTGGCCTCCTAAATCCAATCAGTGGTAAAAAGAACTGACTTCCAAATAGGGCTGCTCCTGCACACGCACAGGCTCTGCATCCGTGAACTCGCCTGCCTGGGAAGGTTTATTTGTGACCCCACACGAACACGCACAGTGGTTTACAGCCCTCTGTGGACACGTGCAGAGCGGGAAGTTTTTTCTGTTTTTTTTTTGTTTGTTTGTTTGTTTTTGAGACGGAGTCTCACTCTGTCGCCCAGGCTGGAGTGCAGTGGCGCAATCTCGACTCACTGCAACCTCCGCCTCCCGGGTTCATGCCATTATCCTGCCTCAGCCTCCTGAGTAGCTGGGACTACAAACGTCCGCCACCACGCCTGGCTAATTTTTGTATTTTTAATAGAGACAGGGTTTCACCATGTTGGCCAGGCTGGTCTTCAACTCCTGACCTCAGCTGATCTGCCCACCTTGACCTTCCAAAGTGCGTCACTGCGCCCAGCCTCGGGAAAAGATTTGAGTCACATGACGCACATGTTCCTGGCTGAGATCACACAGGGTAACGTCCTGTCTTCTCGTGTTGATTCTGAAAACAACCGTCCTTTTCGTGGTCTATTTAGGGCTACCGAGTGTCTGCTTTTTGCACTTTTGCGTTTTTGTTGATTTCACTGTTGGCTCCGGCACAGTGCTGAGCGTCGTCCAGTGTCCCTAAGCACAAGCAGCCTGTGATGCGCCCCACAGAGAAAACATACATGTGGGCTGAGTTCTATATGAGCTGCGAGTTCAATGTTAGCGAACCAACAATCCGCATTCCGTCAGCATGTCTGGAGGCAGGGAAGCACACACAAAATGAGGTTGTCTTTTGATCAGCTGATGCAAACACTGCGACCAGAGGCTACCTAACAATCCTTCCCCTGGGAGCAACACTTCATGATTCGCTAATCCAGCATCCCAGAGATTTACAGACTAGAACTGCGAATAACAAGAATCAACTGTATTTTTAGTTTTTTTTCAAAGAATAGGTTCTTACTGCTTTGCTTGGTAAAACTTATTTACTTCACCCATTCAACACAAACAGCAGATCCTACCAGGAGAGACCATCCCAAGTATACAGTGGTAAACAGGGCGTTGCCTGCCATCACGGAGAGGGGGCCAAAGAGATGTGCGCCCAGGGCCCTGTGTGGCACCGAAACTGTCAAGGGTCAGCAAAGGAGACTGAGTAAGAGAAAAGCCAGGACCGTGCATGAGATGGAAGCCAACAGAAGAGGGTATCTGAAGAACAGCAAGCGGGCAACTGTGCCCAGCATTACAGAGGAGGGAAGAGGAAATGAATACACGTCCCCTGAGTCTGGGAACGAGCAGCTTACACGGAGACCTTGACATATTTTGATGGAGATGGCTGAAAGGAAGAATGGCTGAAACATGAAAGAGAGTGAGAAGTGGAAAAAAACTTAGGCAACTATCTACAGGAGTTATGCTACAAGCCGGGCACAGGGGCTCATGCCCGGAGTTCCAGCACTTTGGGAGGCCGAGGCAAGCAGATACCTGAGGTCAGGAGTTCGAGGCCAGCCTGGCCAACATGGTGAAACCCTGTCTCTACTAAAAATACAAAAAATGAGCCGGGCATCGTGGTGGGCACCTGTAATCCCAGCTCTTTGGGAGGCTGAGGCAGGAGCATCACTTGAACCTGAGAGACGGAGGTTGCAGTCAGCCAAGATGGCACCACCACACTCCAGCCTGGGCAGCAGAGCGAGACTCTACCAAAAAAACAAAAACAAAAACCAAAACCAAAAAAAGAAGTTATGCTCTGGAGAAGCAGAAATGTGGGAGGGGCTGGGGGATATGCACGGGCAAGGGAAGTTTCTGTCTTCAAATACAGGAGCTACTAGATACACTGAGATGGATTTATGGTTGAGACTGCATGCCTGGAGGAACAAACCACTTAGGAGGCTGGTCAGGTGAAGAAGGAAAGAGAAGGGAGCCCCAGGCCGACAGCACCAACCTCTCTTGAAGCAGCAACAGGTGTTAATTGTGATGGGATGGAGATGGGAGATTTCAGAGTGAGGACAGTATGAGACGATCATCTCAAAGAGCAAGCAACACAGTTATAAGAAAAATGCAGGACCACCAGCAGGCACTGGCAGGTCTCCATTAGAGGTGGTG